TCCCAGCCCCTTCCCCATCTCCATCCCAACGCCATTGTCCGACAGCGCTGACCTGCACCAGTCCCGCCCCTCCATCTTTCCCTCCCCGCCTCATTTCCCAGTTTATGCTCACCATGCACTTTAGGACAGTCCCCCTCCACCACCTCCCAACTCGTACGCACCCTCCCGAAACCCCAAAACAATGTCAAGCGGGACTTCTTGGGCTGTGATAATTCCAGCCTTTCCCGACTTCTTAGTCTTCCCCCACCCCCTTTTTTACAGAATCGCGATATCATGAGGAGCGTGTGCATGTTTGTGTGTGCGTCTGCGTGTCGGCGAACAATAGCCACGGCCCTAATCTCCATGTCAAAACCACTCGGCCTCCCCAGCCAGCAGTTCGTTCAGCGTTTTTGCCCCCCCTGCACCAAGCCCCCACCCCATCCCCTACGCCCCCAATTCATTCTTCTTCTTGCAGCACCGCAAAAAGAGCACAGAGGGGCGGTAAGGCGAGCAGATGATGCTAACAAGGCTTTTTGGAGTGGCGGACGTTTGCTACCTGTGAGGATTATATGGTCTGTCTACGCAGGCAAACCGCTGTTTAAAGGGTTAAAATCGTTGCTAATTGTTAGCCGGAGTGCTTGTGGAGTTCCCTAGAGGATGATAGCATTCAGGTAGAGGAGTCTATGTGGTTACTTTAAATACACAACGGGTAAATCTCACTCTTTAGGTCTATTTTGACAGTAATCTTTGGCTAGGAGTGGCTATAAACAGCTTATAGTTACTACATGGTACACAGACTCACATATACACACTCGTATGATCACACAAATGCAATACACAACTCCGTCGATCAACACTTTTTTTTGGCTTTCCACCCCGAGCCCAAACCTTCTTTCCTATTATGGTGCAACTGCAAAATGGGATGTGGTGGCGCCCGCGTTGGCGGCGAAGCTTGCCCCCTGCGGGTTAGACCGGAATGAACCTAACGTCAATCAAATCAGACCGTGGACAGATCAAATATCAAAGAACTCTCAGCCGAGTCTTTCGTATCTTACGGCCCCGCGGTACTAAAAAGAGAATACTTGTGACAATTTCATCCCACCACTGGCTTTTAGCGGACAAAAATGGCAGCGCTTTAAGGGTTCGGACCATGTTAGTGTGCCTGGAGTCCTTATCTAGCGTTTGGCTTGTTTAGACCGTGTGTTTTCACAGGCGGAAAAAAAAAGACCCGGGGACCCGCTGAGGCTCTTAATAGGTTTACTTGGCCCTATTGAATCCAGCCGAGCGGCACAGATCAGATAGCCACAGTCTTCGCTACAGCTTATCGTCCCGGCCCCTTTTCTCTCGCCTGCTTTTTTTTTTTCCACCCCCCCCTGCTCTTTTTCTTCTCCTTTCTTTCCTGACCGGGAGGTGCGGAGAGGGGAGGAGAATCAGGGTGTAATTGGTGAACGGGGTTAAGTACTTGTTTGAGCCCCCCGCGGGCTGGGGCGCTTCAGATGATGACTTAATCGTTTTTCTGCTCAATTATGCGTTTGCGGACCAAACCCCGCCGCCGCTTCGGCACCCTCCGTTCACCTCTCCCTCCACTCTTTGGGTTATGATAGGGGGCAGGGGGGGTGGGGGGGGGGTCGGCTCCCAGCGGGAAAGATGAACACACTCTCACTTACACACAATCTCTCTTGTCTCGCTTGTCTTACTTAATGTCTCTATTATCGCCCGGCAATTTTTCTCTTTTCTTTTTCACATCTCACATCTCGACTCCCCTGACGGGGGGGTGCTTTTATCCCCATGTCTTGTCTTCTTACTTCCAAATCTGACGGCTTTGTAAGACTGAGACATGACGGACCTCCACCTAAGCTGCAGAAACTCTTGATTACAGTCAGCATTACACGGACCAAAGATGTTACTCGATGTTCTGGAAATACTTTTTGACTGAAGAATTTGAAATGTTTGTGTACCCCAAAGCATCATGTTGGGATAGAGATCAGAGATTTTTTTCCCATACCGTTCCCACGGAGCTATTAGTTGTACAAGAAATTGAGAGTCGGAAGCACGCTAATTGTCAAGATGGCTAAAGCAGCATTTCCACCTTAAGTTCAACGATATTTTACAATAGTTCTTCTTTCGTAATTATACTTCCGATCAGTCCAGCACTGCAAAACCCAACCCACATCTTCCTGGACATCTCAAAAGTTGAAGTCTGGACTTTTGAGAACCTTTCCCACGAAGTGAGGAGCATACCAAGTGTCCAAAAAGTCTTGGCAAAATGATAAATTAACATTCAGATGGATTTAGGCGCATTTCAAACTTTAATTTGAGAAATGTTAAGTTCTTGGTCTTGGTTGTTTCAGGAGTTAAAAGGTTGCAATCAGTTTTGCAGTCCAGAACACAGACCTCTATAAAGTATGACCGTATTTTCCGCACTATAAGGCGCTTCGGATTATAAGGCGCACCTTCAATGAATGGCGTATTTTGAAACTGTTTTCATATATAGGGCGCACCGCATTCATTATAAGGCGCATAGAATAGAAGCTACAATAGTGGCGGAGGTTGCGTTACGCATCCACTAGATGGAGCAACGCTAAAGGGAATACAATACAATACAGCTTTATTTATGCGGCGCTTTCACAACCGCTGCAGCTGTAAAAAAAAGGGCTTGACAGAACATTTAAAATACCACATCCAAGAAATCGGAATATTGATCCGTATATAAGGCGCATCGGATTATAAGGCGCGCTGTCATTTTGAGAAAATTGAATGCTTTTCGGTGCGCCTTATAGTGCGGAAAATACGGGAACCCCCAGAAAAGTCTCCTTTCAGCCTTTCCCCAAAATGTTCTTTTGATGCTGAGAAATTCCACCAGAACAACAAGAGAACGAGAGTCGTCCGAAAGTTCCTAATTCTGGGGTGAGATTTAAATGCCGGCTGTTGGACTAAGTCCCAAGTTTGTTCGAGATGTACCACACCCAGAAGAGAAATGATATTTGGTGGTGTGAGGTCAAAGCTCCCATGAACCAAAGTACAAAATAGTTCTAACTGTTCCCCGGTCCTTTTCTCTTGCAGTTTAACCGTTGCATCACCTCGCAGCTCATCAAGTGGTTCAGCAACTTCCGGGAGTTCTACTACATCCAGATGGAGAAATTCGCCCGGCAGGCCATCAACGACGGCGCCGCCGGCGTCGAGGACCTGAGCGTGAGCCGCGACTGCGAGCTCTTCCGAGCCCTCAACATGCACTACAACAAGGCCAATGACTTTGAGGTAAGCGGCAGGCGCCAACAAAAATCCAAATGATGTCGTTTTAGAAAAAAAAAAGGGCTTCAATGAATTATTCAAAACATTGAGCTGATTTCATTCAGTGGAATGACGTCTCGTAAACCAACGTTTATCTTTCACCATATTGAGGTCGGGAAACGTGTGAAGTCGCTTGCCGTTGTGCTTTCGGCTTTCTGGTTGGCTAAGCGGTGCCGTTTTGGAACTCAAAAGGGCAAAAAGCGGAAGAAAAGTCGAGCGACTTGATTGCCGCGCCTCTTCTTCCCCATCTTTTGTTTCGTGGCCGTCGTGCGTTGGGAGACGCTCGCTACTTCCCCGTTGCTCATTTTCCCCTCGCGTGTTTGATGCGTCTTCCAGTTTTTACTGGAAGCTCTCGATGGGTAACTTCGCCTTTTGGTGGGATTTTTACGACATGCGCTTCTCCTTTTTTTTTTTTTTTTAAAGCCACCTTGGCTCACCGTTTCCCCTTCTCGGTGTGGGCGGAACGTCAAGAAGGTTCGCACGTGTATTCGTTACAGCCACTCGCCGTTCTCCGAGTGCCCCGTGTGAGCGTTTTGTTGTTGCCGCATTTCCCAGCAGTGTCCTGTTCACCTCGAAGGGTACAGCCGTCCCTTGGACCGGACCGAGCATGCTGGCAAAGCATTTTTTTTTCCCCCCGCGTGTCTGTGTCACTTTGGGGGGGCAGATGGGGGGGGGGGTTCACTGCTATCAAGGTTAAGCGTCCTACTGTTTTAGCACGAGGAAGAGAGAAAGGGGGGAGAAGGGGAAAGCGGGAGATGGATAGATAGGGGATGGAGGGTGAGAGCGGAGAGACAAAAGAGCATTGAGGGGAGGGAGGGAGGGAGGGAGGGAGTCAGGGGAGAGTGGAGGTGGTTTTTGATGCTGTTTTTGTTGTTTCAGGTAATTGGTGTGCCAGATTGGGACCAGTT